TTTGTTTGAAGCCATAATAATAGTATTCAATTTATGCTTGGTTTTTTTCAACTAAATATAATTTCGAAATATGTTGTGTTGTCTATGTAAGAGAATCGAAGAGAAGACTTCCTGCGTTATAACAGTGAAAAGAAATAAACGTAACTGAGCGTAAAGCATTGAGATGTTCGACTTTATACTCTGCTACATTTGGGTATTTCTCACTTCGAGAAAGAAACTCATACGCGTTATCAAAACTTCCCCAAGATGGAAAAATTTCTCACCACGCTGTGAAACAGAGAAAAAGAAAAAAATATGACTCAAGAGAGTCGTCAAAATTAGAAAATCGTTACTCATACTTATAGCGGACATCTATAAGAGCATATTTTATTGGCTTAGAAACAGAACAATTGAAATTTAAGTTGTGTTGAGTCATTTCATTTGACTCATAAGTTTTTTTTAATCTTTTTTTCCATTGTGGGAAAAAGGCGAGAATAAGACCAAACACAATCTTGCTGCTTCTTCTATTCTCCATAGATATTTCAAGTTTAAATGCATAGGGATATGTTATGATATATTTGTTTGAAATCTAAACAATTAACATTAGTCTGATTTTATATTTTCTCTGCAAAATGCATACTAAAATTCTACTGACAAATTCAGTTTAGAACAAGTAACAATTAAAAATTATTCTTTGAATAGTTTTTATAATAAATATGTCGTATCTCTCTCTCCCTCTCTGAATATCAAACAGCACAATTAAACAACAAAAATAGTAGAAATCAAACACCAGATTTGTCAGGGTTCATTCTCATCACTTCATTATTTGATGGTGGATTTACTGCATTATTTTCATAGTCGGCGCCAATGAATGAATATTCGGCTATACTTTTTTGGAATAATTTTTTCGTCTATGACACTGTTAGCTCGTTTCGTCAAGCAATCGACATATCTTTCTATTTAGAAGAAAACATCTTATATATATATATATATAATGTCCTTCACGTACATAAATTCAATAACAAAGAGAAGAAAAGAAAAGATTACATAACAAACAAAGAATAGAGAAAGAAGAAAGCATCGAGGGGTATGGTGAACAGGTATCACCGTTAACAGTCCTTCCCCCTTACAAGAGATGTGTGTCCCCACACATTACTATTTATATATTGAAGAATAAAGTTGTTGTGCATCAGCATTCGGAATAAAACTAATAACCTGGTTAATTTCGTCATCTGTTATCATATACTTGTACTTAATCGTATAGTTGTATGTTAATCTATATGTAAATCGATGGTTTGAAGTGTAGTTGATATTGTTCAATGCTATGTATAGTCATAACATGCATTATCTGTTGAAAAAACTAATCGATCACTTGATGGATTAACTAATTGTGTAACATTTATTCCCTGAAAAATTAAACATGATGTATTTGATAAACATTGAACAGTTTCATTGGGAACAGTAAACTTTTTATCATTATACGAGTTAAATTTGTTTGTTAAATCTGGATAAATTCTATCACGAAATCGTTTGCTTGGTTTTAATTCTTTTGTTGGGTATACTTTAAGATAAAAAATCAAACAAAATATTATGTTAATAGGCGTGTAACATCAGAATTCTATCTTAGGAACGGCTGAACAGTTCAAGTTTTCCTCTGGTTTATAAGGGTTTCTTGACGTGCTCTTTCTTTTTGTCTCGAGGAAGTTTTCTTCAAAATGCTCGGAAGTTGTGTTTCCAGAAAACCGACGTTTTTGAGCTACAGGTGTTGGAAAAAATGAGTTTTCTAAAAATACGAGCGGTAGAAAAAAATTTTAAATCTGATATTCGGATTCAGCATCGAAAGACGAACATCTCAAAAAAATCAAGTTTCTAACCCAAAGTGTAAATTTATGAATTGAGTTCCAAGTTTTGGGAAGTCCCGTTTTTTTACATTTAAAATAGCTCAATCCAGGCAGGTGATAAAAAGCTGGTTCAAACGTCAATCGATAGAGAGTCGAAAACTGAACAAACGTAGGGGTTTGACAATTTTCATATACCGCGTGATTATGGTTTTCTATGGGATCTCTAGAAAACCATTCTTCTAATTTGACTTATACTTTAATTTTTTTTCAGTTTTAAACTTCGTTATTGGACTTTTATGATTTCTAGAAGTAGAAATCAATAAAAATATCATAGTTGAACACTTAACATATTTCCAACATTCGTGGGCACATGTTTTGATCCATTGTGTTCATATGCTATAAGGTCACGAGGATATTACTCTTCATTTTATTCACACAGCTGTCTAGACAACGGCTAGCCTTAAGTAACTTTGTCTCATCTGTCGTGTATAAATAGATGTACACGTTCATTTTCCTCTATCAATAACATTTGTGTCGTTGACTCTTTTCTTCATTGGAAGACGAAAGGACTTTTTGTGAGTTGTATTATGGCTAGTTGTATTGCGCCTGGTTGTCAAAAAAAAGTTCGGTGATGTTGGCAAAGGTCGATGGAAAGTTGCATTGTTTCGCCTACCAACCGACCCTATTGTATTAGAAAAATGGTGTGATATTTTGTCGATCAACATTAATGATCTTAGTGTGGCAAGATCAGAGCGTGTATGCAGTCAGCACTTCTCCACTGATGACATCACGTACTTGGAAGGAAAGACATTATTGACTAAAGGTGCTCTACCGATTAATTCGAACAAAGCAGGTATGTATAGTTTCTTCAAAGACTTCTGTACAATAAACTTAATGTTTTATGCACCTAGATGGTTCTGGCAGAGTGTCGCGTTCACATTCTGAAACGGCACTTGGGAGAAGCACACCGTCGAGCGGTCGATCTCGTACGTTTTCAGCTAGTTCAAATATTGCTGATCTTTCTCAAGATGATGAAATTCAACTTCTTCGTGCATAGGTATTATCATTAAAATTAGAAGCATTGCCTCCATCATTGGAAACGTACGAAAATGATAATGAATCAGTATCACTCTATACTGGATTCCCATCATATGCTGTTGCCAGCCTAGTACTTGATTTAGCAAATCCTGGAGTCAATGGTATGTTAATCAAAGCACATTACGTTATATTTTTCATATACAACTATTTTTCAGGGTGCAATATCTTGGATAGATCTGATAAACCTATAAACAGAGCGGAGCGTCGTTCACTGAATGAAAGTCAACAGTTTTTACTGGTTTTCATGAAATTAAGACACAACTTTCCATTTTTGGATCTTGCTGAAAGATTTAAAATAAGTAAAATGACTGCATCCAGGTATATCAGTTTTACTCTTTGAATCTATGCGAAATAGCCGATATTAATGCTCAGTTTATAAGTGTTTCAGATTATTTGATCGATGAATTAATTTTTTGTACCTGAAATTTGCAAAAATGCCAATATTTCTAAGTGCTGAATATGCACAACAACATTTGCATCCTTCATTCAGTTCTTTTCCAAAATATGCGTTGATCAGTGATAGTTTTCCAGTGTATATTCCAAGACCAAAGAATTTAACAGCTTAGTCAATAACATACAACGATTATTATAGTGGAAATGTAATGAAAGGATTGATTGGTATTGCTCCTACAACTGATTTTCCAATAGTTTTTTTCTCAGAATTATTCTCTGGTGCAGTTTCTGGCAAAGAATTGGCAACACTTTCTGGTTTAACAAAATTAAATTATCCATCAGGCACTGAGATAATGGCAGATAAAGGTTTTCATCTTCAAGATATTGAACAAGAAAAACAATGGAAATTCGTCATTCCATCATTCTTGGACGAGTCGAGTCAATACAGTTCAACTGATATTGGAAACAATATGAAAATTTCCAGTGTTCGTATACGTGTGGAATACGCTATAGGCAGAACGCATATTTTTCGTATTTTGTCTACACCTATTCCTTCTCAACTATTTTCTTCTATAAATCAAATTGCTTTTATCTGTGCTTTTGCTTCGAATTTTATGTATAGAGAAAATGAAAAAAGAAATATAGAAAAATAAAGGTACATTGAACAAAGTTTAAACGAAATCTTCATCATCTTCTTCATTACAAAATGATACATCAACACAAAGCTCATCTTGTTCTTCGCTTGAACTTGATTCCACAAATACAGCAATGTCTGCCGGAACGTCATGAAAAAAAGGAATACCATAATTACAATAGAAGTTTTTCAACAAAGGAATATTTTTCAGATACCAATTTTTACAAGCAAAAATTCGCTCAATACTTAAGCTCTTGAACGTAAACACAATAAAGTCGCCCCATGGCGATTGTGTCAAAAAAAGTTGTGTTTGAACTTGATGATAATACGAATGATGTTTTTCAATTTTGGAAAACCACCATCATTTTCTGTGAAAAAGTTTTTCAAAACAACAGCTTCACTTGGTTTAAGAAAACGAGCCGAGTATGGACATTTAACCTCTGCAATTCCAAAAGTGATCTTGCTTTCTTGACAACAGCGAAGTTTGGCATCAGGCGTTGCTCCCAACCAAAAATAGTCAGGTTGTGTGACGAAGCCAGCAGCGAAAATTTCTACCTGAAAACCATTTGACACCATGGCTTTTTTATATTCGTTCAATGCTTTTGATTCTTTTTGAATGCCATGATGAACTGAACGAGAAACAGCAGAATTTTGCGAGCCACTGAAAGAGGTAAATAATTTTCGTAAGAAAGAATGGGTACGTGTACGAACACGGTTCAAAATAGAACCAACTTGTGAAGCTGAAATACGTTTTGTATGCGCGTCACGTCACTGCTGACTGTTACGCTGTCCCGTTGTATTTGCTTCTAACATAATTGCATCAGCAGCACCTACCATAATATTCGTAGACCACCATATATTATCATTTGACATGTTTAATTCGGTTAATGATGGTATAGGTTTCAATGAAAATGAAGGATAACTTGTACTATCTTTGTTGTAAATAGATTCAATACAGTCTGCAATTAAAAAGAGAACTTCTCTCTCCATATGTTCATGTTGATGAATTGCCAGCGGGCTGATGGAAAACGTAGGTCCAAAATTAGTATTAACTATAGATAGTGGCTGTTGTTGTTCGATGGCATGATCAATAAGAGTTGAGAATGGAAGATTGAGTGCATCGCAACTAAGTTTTAATTGTTTTAATAAATCTAATTCAGGTGAAGAGCGAAGATCTGCCAAACAAGCCTGACACAGAGGCCCTTTCGAAGTAATTTTAGACGAAGAAATCGCTGATGTAGTCGACAATGAGTTTCGAGGATGAACGGTCCAAATCATTTCTGTAGCTGACATATTGCTCATATTGGTTGGTTTTGGTGCTCGCCATGAGCGTACACCCGCAGTGGAAGAAAAATCTTCGTCTGGAAGAAAGTCAAATTTTCGTAGTTGATACGAGGCAAGTCGGTATAAGATAGAACACACGTGACTGCAAAATCCTGAGTTTCCATATTTACAATCACAATTGGCGGTAATACTTGATAAGCCCTCAAGAAAAATAGAGTTTATTATAGGCATTTTGGAAGAAAAGTATGAAGTTACACTCACCTGACATATTTAAATTAGCAAAATTAATTTTAACACGACAAACATTGTGCTTAGCCATACTATGTTTCACATTGGAAGTAATATCAGCTGCAGTGTCATCAATCTTGATTATTGTTTTCAAAATGTGTCCTTTCTCAGAGTGTAAAGCAAAAGATTTTTCATTGATCATTGGATTCTTCATATGACTGCCAGCTGCACCACCACAGACTTTATCAAGATTATCTTTGATATATTTTTCAACGTCCCCGAAGGTAAATTTTAGCAGTGAACATATATCAGACATGTTTTTATTAAGAGGCTGCGGGTGTGGGTGTGGATGTGGGTGTGAGTGTGGGTGTGGCGATGGTTGCTGGTGTTGCGGGTATGTTTGTGGCGTGTAGATCTAAGTTTTCCCTTCACTCTTAGCCACACCCACACCTACACCGTTTTGGGCTCTTCAGAGTGCAATGCCGCTTACACAACTTCTGAATACATTATGAGATAGAACTCATCGAGTTGCATTTGGAACAGAAGTGGAATAACTGGAACATCATCCTGGAAGAATCTTGGCTGCTTTGATTGTCCACAATCACCGATTACTTCACAAACACACTACTATTTTTAGATTTTCTCGGAGTAGTTTGCGCTATCAAGTATATAATTATACCACTAGATAGAGCTCATTGAGTAGTACTCGGACTTTATTGAACCGAGTGGAACATATTCCTGGAAGGGCGTTGGCACTTTTCACTATCCGAAACCAATGGTTTGCTCGTCTGACACACAAGTATTTTCGGATTTTCTCACACGCATTTTCACATACAGAGTATCTAAATACAACATTCGATAGAGCTCATCGAATTGTACTTGGAACACCAATGCCACACTTCGA